AGGAATAAGAGATAAACATTATAGATATTTCAAATTAATTGATTACAGGGTGTCCCACGAAACATGACAGATATATAGCAAGACAATTTGAAGGTCGTCTTTGATATTTGAATTTATTTGTGAAATTCAGTCGTCAACTTACTTTATCATAATAATAACCACAAAATTCTCCTAGTCCTGCATATTTCCAAAATGTGATCTGCTTGTTTTGTGTTGTCAATGTTACCGGAGATATTAAGAATATCGTTCTGATTTCAATTTTGTTAAATAAAAGCAAAATTGTCGAAATCAAAACGAAATTCTTCATATCTCAGGTAATATTGAAAGCACTAAAAAGGCAGACCACATTTTTGAAATGCCAGAATAGGGGTATTTCACGATTATTATATCTAGAATTTTACTTTTTAGTTGACAAATAAAGCAGCAAATTAAAGTCGTCTTGCTACTGTTATGTTTCGTGGGACAACCTGTGACATGAGTCAGAACTTTTGGGCAGACGCTGAACTCTAACCTTCGGGTGTTTGAGGTGGGGAAGACGTCACTTCAGATCTCACTGCCGTTTTTTACTGAACGCCGCACTCAATTAAAAGCATGACTAAGGGGGGATGAAATTTGTAAATCCAGATTGAATCATTTCGGTGGGATGCCTGCGTAGAGACTGACAGCTGGTGGGGTGCCTGTTATGAATCTCGGGATCAAGAATTTATCTCAATCTATGCAGAGTACAGACCAACAGATTAATTCAATCCTTCCCAGTCCCGTAGTGGTCATACTCTACACATGGATTCTTTTAATTAAGAGGATCTCAAAGCATTAATCCTCATTAACTTGAAATTGTCCACATTACATATATGAGATCAAGTGTTCTGGTTCAAGATTATACGATTCTCCTCAAAAAGTCCCGACTCTAATCAACTTCTGAAAATTAAAATACAATTTTTATCTATTTTATATTTCCAATTATAAAGTTGTGTGCTCGGGGTTTCCCTGTATCCGGCCTATATGTATGACTCAATAGCGTACACAGAAATAATTATCCGGGGGGGGGGGGGCAATTATGCGAAAAGCGGAAATTTTTTTGCCCCCCCCCCCCCCTAGGAGCTTCAAAGGGGGAGCTGGGAGCAAAATTTGAACTGTAAATTCAAGACATTTGGCTTCTTGGACACTGTAAGGGTACACATACAGTCTAATTACCTTGCAAATACTATTTTCTCTCCTTCAAACAAAACTAGCAGAAAAAAGTGAGCTCTGAGTTCTAGGGGGCGGGCTACAAACCCCCCCCTTACAGGTCTAGGGGACACTACCCCCTTGCCTCCCTCCTCCCTGTGTACGCCATTGATGGATATATAGTTCATATAGTGCAATTAAAGATAATATATAGGGTGTCCCACAAAACATGACAGTTAGTAAATAGTGTTGAATGTCGTCTTCCATACACTATATTAGATATTAAAGGCTGTTTGCAGAATTATTTCGTTTTAAAAATCTTTTGCTCTTTGAAGTTAATTTTACTATAATATGACTCCTATATAATATTTTTATTATTGTCTTAGGTATTAAACAACTTAACAAATTATGGAAGAAGACATTTTAAACTATTTACCAACTGTCATGTTTCGTGGGACACCCTGTATATGATCTAAAAATTGGCCGGGTCAAGAGTCCGGTATCTTAAGAGCGGTATTAGCTAATACCGCTCTAATACCACTCTTAACACTAACACCGGTGTTTAGGAAATACGGATTCATAAGTCGCTAATGCTGCCTAATTTGTGGCAGGATTATCTAGCCTAGAACAGCTGATGCGTTCATAAGTCATCCTAGCTAAAACCAGGATTATCATCCAAACTTTACCGTTTTGACTCTTCTGCGCAACTCTTTTCTCTTCTCAACTTAATAATTTGTTAATAATTATAAAGACGACTTCTAAATAATACATTTTTTATTATATGACGAAAGATAGATTAAAAATTTATGAAAATATCTTGCCAACTAAACTTTTTACATTTCATTATCAAAGTTAAAAAAATAAAAAATTTTCAATAAGATATATTTTTTAGAAAAAAAATCTTTAATAAAGTTTTGCTCATAAAATGTTTTTTTTTATATTCAACACATTTTATTAATATACTTATGTAAGGAGGGTGGGGGAGGGGTCATTTTTCTGAATTAAGCGAAATAAGAAGTATTTCTTCGCTTTTTATGCATCCCTGTATTTTAAACATCCCTGTATTTCATGAGGTTACGAGAATATCGAATCCAAACCAAATTAATACTGGTAGAACTGGTTATTTAGGGTAGATCATCCTACCTAAATCTACCCTGCGGGTATATTAGTTAACACCGCTCTTAGTAAAACTGGCATTTCTGTTAATACCGGTATTAGCACAACTTATGAACGCGTAGGGTAGATGATCCTACCAACCAGGATTAGTTAAGAGTGCTATTAAGGGACTCTTGACCCGGCCTAATGAGAAGAGGTCACACAATACGTTCTCTATGAACTCAAACTGAGACTCTGAGTCAGCATTGTACAGATGTACTCAAGTATTTTAAAATTAATCCAGAATCCAGATACCGGATTTTTCATTCAAGTTGTTTTGGTGCAGTTTCATAAATTTTGTTTAGCGTGTGCTACAATTTTCATAGTTTTTAGAAATACGTCTCTTTTAATGTTGTCTCTAGTGTCCTATTTAATTTCTTAAATTTACTTTGTGGTTTTAAATTCAAACAAAGCACAACAGGGCTTTTTATTTTTTCCTTTTAAGTTTTCGCTATTTTTATATCTTTAATGGTTTTTTTGTGCATGTTAAAGGTGAAAATAATCTTTATAAATGTCATTTATTTCGTTTTTGTTGCTAACTTTGTCCTAATTTATCAGCATAAAGGGACTGTAAACATAATTTCATGTGATCAACATTTGTAATCAAAACTTGTATACTAGGACGGACCCCTTGATTGCATTATTTCATCTGAACAAAAACATCCTATAGAAATATGAGTGCAGAGTGTTTGGGTCCGTCTTAGAGAACGATTTTTGGACCCCCAGAGGGGAGGGGGGTCCAAAAATCGTTCTCTAGGAAAATTACCGAGTTTTCAACCAATGCATATGAAGATGGTAAATTTAGTAAAGTGATCTTTTATACAATGATCAAAGTTGGAATTCTATGTTTTGTTCACTTAAAAAGGTTTGGATTTAGATATGAAGACCCCGGCGTTGCCCAGGGTACTTATTAATTACTCACGCCGTTAACCCGCGCTTGGTGTTAGATGACGATTTTAACTATTTTTCCTTATAAAAGTTGACCCATTCAACTTAGATTCTCAACCAAGCTAAGGACATTCCCGTGGTTCTCATGAGTTCCCATGCAATCAAAATTTGAAGCAAATTGGTTCAGTAATTCCTAAGTTATGATCGGACATACAAACAAACAGAGATTACTACTTTATATATGTAGATTATAGTTATTCCTCTAAACTCGCTGAAATATTAGACACATCTATTCAGTCTCATAACGTTCACATTTTACCCTATACGTAATTACATTAGGTCTTAGAAGTAGTTATTGCTAATAGACAATCCTCGATGTCGTCATGCAGTTACCCCTGTTAATTGGGACTAACGATGGGCTGGATTCGTTTTACAGAAACTTTTAATATTTTAGACTTTATAAAGGTTTTACGACAATCTGAGAAGGGTCCAATGATTAAAAATTGTATTCTGCAAGAGTTTACTTATCAAACATGCAAACTTTGTTATCTTAGGTGAAATAATAGGCAAAAAGGAATCAAAAACTATCGTTTTCGCCTTATTTTTCTTCTGGGGTAACAAATTCTACAGAATAAAGTTTTAAAAAGTAGGAACCTTCTCATGTTGTCGTTAACACTTTTTAAAAGTCTAAAAACATTTAAAGTTTCTGTAAAACGAATCTGGCTATTGCCCATCCCCATAATGTGGGACACCCTGCATCACATGTTATGATTGATTAACATTGGATTATTGAATACCTTTTTAATTTTTAACGGGCACGATCCCTTTAAGCTTTGTGGTTTTCTTTCTTAGAAAGCCTATAAATAGTTGAACAAGGATAATGTTCAGTTTATCAGTTGTGACTAGACAGTAAGCTAACACTGCCCGCCTGTACTGATCCTTTTATGAACCAGGGCCCCGTCTAAATGATGGTTTGATCGCTAGATGTCATATTTAAGTTTCTAATCTGATATAAAGATCATATAAAGATAACTAGCTGAAGTGTCCGTGGAAGTTTAGTAACATTTGAGAAAAAATTCAAATTTTGAAGAAAAAAAATTTGAAAAAAATCGAATTTATAAAAAAAATCAATTTTTTAGCCTATATTACTTCCGCGGTACTCAAGGGTTCCCTCGAAAAATGTTAGCTGCAACTTGGTTTAGCCGTTTGGCTAGTTATAGCTAAAAGTTCCATTTTATATATATGAGCGAAGAGGAAGAGGCAGCGCTGGGTTCCCAAGCTAGTCTATATGTATAAAGTTGTAATCTCTGTTCGTCTGTTTGTTTGTCCGATCATAACTCGGGAACCCTGGACCGATATGCCTCAAATTTTGATTGGGGAACTGGGAAGACCCACTGGAATGTTTTTAGCTTATTTTTGAGATTGCTCAAATATCATGGTTAACACTGGAAATTCATGATTTTATTTTTAGAGATTATTTTAGATGAAAATGGCGCGAACTGGTGCCACTGACTTGAGCCGAGCTATACAAGCCTACAGGTAGTATTGAGAGAAACAAACTATATTTCAAGTATTCTCTATCCCATCCCTCGGCTCTCCTAAACAAATCATGTGATAATTTTATTGCAGTTTTCCCCTAAAATTTCTAATGTGTTTATTGAAAATGTCAAAAAGGGTTCAAAAAAGGTCTAATCCTATTTAAAAAATTTTTTGTGCCCTCACATCATTATCNGTACTGTACTGTACTGTACTGTACTGTACTGTACTGTACTGTACTGTACTGTTTAGGATGAGAACCTGTTAAGTGTGTCTACCCTCTGGTCTCAAGTCAACCTCTCCTCCTACAAGAATATTAACTTTTCCAGAACAGCAATCATCAACCCTCTTACTCTTGGTAGATATTTTGTTGTAATCAACCTGAAAACGTCACTCCCCATCCACATCAAGATTGAATCGGGAGAAAAATAATGTGCATAGTTTTGAATTTTAAAACACTGCATAATTTAATTTGGAACAAACCGTTCAGAATTCCTCCTGCAGATCTGAGGGCTTGATATCTTTTTAAGAAACATATTTAATGTATTTTTATGAAATGATATGAAATCGCAAAATTAACTATTTCTAAAATTAAGTCTCAACCGGATTATATATAGTACTGAAGCCATATCTAATTAATAACGGTATAATTAAACACATTTCCAAAGGGAATCATGGTTTAACTTTGTCTGCGAAATTCAACCACTTCTCGCTATTCATTACATTCTTCAGTTTTATTTTATAGGTGGAGTTCATTTGAGCAATCCAGTACAACAAGCTGCAGAGGATAAAGTATTGTACTCTAGTGATACAGTACACAGGTAGTATTGTACTCTAGTGATACAGTACACAGGTTAGTATAATACTTTAGTGATACAGTACACAGGTAAGTGTTGTGATCTAGTGATACATTACACAGGTTAGTATCGTACTCTAGTGATACAGTACACAGTATAGTATTGTACTCGAGTGATACAGTGTCGGTGACAAACAGTTTATTATTGTAGGGTTGTGGTTTGAAGTGTTGGTGATGAACAGTTTATTATTGCAATGTTGTGGTTAGAAGTGTCGATGACAAACAGTTTATTATTGCAGGGTTGTGGTTAGAACTGTCGGTGAGGATCAGTTTATAGAAGTCTGGGGAGCTGATAATCTTAGGAAGAACAAAATTTATCAATAACATTTTTATGATTTTTTAAACGTCTTTTTCTCAATCCATTCCGCTCNTTTACAGTACAACTGTAATCCCCCCTCCAACCTGCATAATAATAAACTGAACTGTTGTACAGTACAACTGTAATCCTCCCTCCAACCTGCATAATGATAAGCTGAACCGTTGTACAGTTCAACTGTAATCCCCCCTCCACAAACCTGCATAATGATAAACTGAACTGTTGTACAGTACAACTTTAATCCCCCCTCTACCAACCTGCCTTATGATAAACTGAACTGTTGTACAGTACAACTTTAATCCCCCCTCCACCAACCTGCCTTATGATAAGCTGAACTGTTGTACAGTACAACTGTAATCCCCCCTCCACCAACCTGCATAATGATAAACTGAACTGTTTACAGTACAACTGTGAACCTCAAGGACCTGGATGCACATGGGAAAGTGTACGGTGATGAGGTATATATAATAAAAACTGCAGATATTATTGTTCAAAACATGATTTTTAGAAACTAGTTACTTGGAAATCAACAATAGTTCTGATTGAATATTTGTAATAAAAAATAATTATGAAAACTAGGAACGGGCACAGTAAAACACCAAAGGTAGTGCAGGGGGATTGTTTGATGTTTAAAACTGCTTAGAAATAATTAAATAATTCTCGGGTATTGGTTTTGTTCCTGCGTATCGAGCCCTTTTGAATCCCTACAGCACTATAGTTTCAGTAGAAGTAAATATTTTCATTAACTGATAGCGTCGATTAAACGATTTATCTCGAATTGGATAATGAGTTAGATAGAAAGATAGATTTTACCACCATACTATTTCTAGTGGTTCAGAATAGACAACAAACACATGATTGAACCCTGATTGGATCAGGCCCTAATGGAATTGGCATACAAGAGTGGCACCACTAAATCATTCTACAATAAAGGAGTAGGATCGCGACTCTTTGATCAGTCAAGATATTAATGGCACTTTTGCGGAGGGTCACTGTAAACTTACTTCTACATTTTCTTAAAAGGGATTATAAGCATAATTTTAATGACCCTTCATGCAAAGATGGCGATCAAGTATTAATTAGATATTAATGTTTTTGTTTGTTTCAATTGTTATTTTTATTTGCGGGTTTTCTACGGCGAAAATGATTTGCGCATTTTTTGTTTAAAAGGATCAATGCTCACCGACATTTACACTTTTCAGAGTCAGAGAAACGGCGGTATGGTCCACATTTTTGATCAGATTAAAGTTTCAAGGATACCGTTGTAAATCTAGCATTGCCATCTTTGCACGGATGGTCACTTAAAATTACGCTTACAGCCCCTTTAAGCGACCCATCAGCTAATCCCAAATTCTTGAAAGTGAAAGGAGACAGGGGTGTCAAAAAAACTCTTGAATAATTGTGTATTTTAGGAATTCGGAAGTCTGGATTTGAATCCAGGATGTACAAGTCTACTTTATATTGCGGAGAAGAAAGCTACTAAAACCCTTCCTTTCCTTTTCCAAGGTTTGGTCCAAACATTTTATTTAAAGGGAGTGTCTGGCTAGACATCGTAGTTGAGCTGAGAGTGCAGTATTGAGACCTTTGTAATATCCTCCTGGATTGTCCAACCCGGCAGGAAGGCGTGCTGCGCCAATACCAGCAGAGCAATCTGCCGCATTCGGCAATACAATTCTGCATTCTCAGCTCAACTATTATGTACACGCAGACACTCCCTTTAAATAGACAGTGGGCGTAATATCAAGCCACCCTATTCCTCTTTTAAATAAAAATAGTGGCATTTCCTAATCACAATTGTACCATTTAAACCTTTAAACAAGATTGTGTTATAGAGAAACCACACTCAAAAAAAATCATTCATCCTTGATAAGACAGTGTCCGAATTTAATGAATTTAAGCCGCGTCTCAAATCCCCCCGGTTTCAATTGAGCGCCGGCTTAAATCTTGAAAAGTTGAATTAAATTGAATTTAAGGGGAACCAACCATATTTGAGCCGCGGCTTAAATTTAAACTGCGGCTCAAATTCTTTAAATTCGGCCTGATGTTTAAAAGGTACTGTTGTGAACCGGACACGCACCTTAGCACTTTGTAAATGAAAGCTTAAAGCTTATTAGCGGCGGTATGGTTGATGCAAATAGTAAGTTTAGATTTTTAACTTTTTCATTTTAGGAAACCTAAAATAATAATTTTTTTTTAAAATCTTATAATACAACTTTTACTAAGAAACTCTCTTTAGGTGTTCTACCAGAGGGGTCTGAACAGGGAACACAATATAAATACAAGTAATATAATTTTAGTGATTTATTTATTCAAAAGACAAAATCATGAAGAAAAAAAATCCATCTGACTTCAAAAGTTTTGAAATAGAGATTTTACTGGACTGATTTCGTTTAACTTTATCTTTCTATTCTTTAAAAAAGTCATACTTTAAATTACGCTTAGAATTTCTCAATACAAATTACGCTAATTATCAACTTTAAATGACGCTAACACTCCCTTTAATTGAAGTCCCAGTTTAAATAACGTTAACACTCCCTTTAAGGGAGGACTGGGGAGAGCAGATGGAGGGTAAATGTGATCCAGTGATCGCTCTCCTAGATCTTGGCAAACCAGCAGTTCAGGTATCTGGGCCTCGAGGTTTATTTTTTCTTTGAACAATTATCAACCCCCCACCCCTTTAAGAATAATTTTCAGAGAGTGATTAATTTGGACCATTAAAATTATGTATGAACATTGTTAGACTTTATATAAAAATCTGGCAATGCCGAGGTGCTCGGTCTCCGTGCTCGGTTTGCTATCCTGTCCTAGCCACAGCAATCGTCAAAACCTAACCAAACTTAAAAAATAAATATAAATCTTCCAAAGTTGCATATAAATTTGTGGGGGGCCAGGGGGGGGGGGTAAACTTAAAAAGTTGTTAAATTTGTATTTTAGTAAAATGTCACTTTTGATGTTTTTTGAAATTTAGTTTAAAAAACAGGGCATTTTGTCAACTTTTTCAATCCGAGTTTAGCTCAAAATTATTTCATTGATTGATGGGGATCCGGAAAATGGATCCCCACTTGAAAAAAATGGATCTGGACCCAGGTCATGAACATTTATTTAAGATTTACTGATTTTTTATAGAAGAAGACTTTTCGAATTATTTTTCTTTCTTTATTCACTTATTTTTATGCAACAATTTGATGAAACATTCAGAGATAAGTATATTTTTGATAATATCTCTTTTTTCAACAATTTAGATTTGAGTTTTTGAGAGCAACAGATTTTTTAGCAGATTTTGGTTGATATTTTGCCCTTGGATCCGGATCCTGAATCCGCATATTTTTGCAGATCTTGATCCGAAATATTGAGTAACGAGGCTGAAATTATTAATTTTGCCTCTAGTTATTTACACTCTAGTCATTTACAGTTTATACAAATCAAAAAAGAAAAGTTTGGATCTTAGGTCACTGACCCCCATTTTTACATGCAACATTTTCATCTGTTTCTTGGTTATAGAGGTCCTACTAGTAACTGTACTACAGTTTATTTTGTAAAACAAAAATATGAAGGTTTCATTGTTTATTTTATCCTTGCATTAAAAAATTATTAAATTTATGTTTTTATATTGGATTTTTTGTTTATAGATTCTTTCTGGTATACCAGAGGGTTGGAGCCCTGGACTTGTTAGGTAGGATGTAGGTGTATGTAAATATTTTATCTTAGGTTGTCAATCATTATGGTTCGTTTTAGGTTCATTTTTGAGGGTTTGATATTTTTAAAAAGGTTCCACATAAATCTGAGAAGTTTTACAAACTTTAAAATTGTATATTCCAAATATTTACTGTTTTCACACTTTGCCAAATTTTTACCCTGAATTTGAGAAAAAAAAAAAAAAAATCCTGAACAAATGTTTATTGATTCGTTTCCCTTAAATTTTCTTTTTCTAAAGGTTTCTAAACAGGATTTACATTCCTAAATATACTTTGACATACTAGGTCAGTCCTAGATATACTTTTCTCTTTAAAGGGACAGACTAGCTATGTAAGGAAGTTGAACTGAGTATGCAGTGTTGTAGACAAATTCTTTAGAATTAATTTGAAACATATAAAACTTTTTAAAGATCTGTAAATCCTGAGTTTGAGCGCAAAGTCGGTGTTCAAAATCGTACTTTTGGGTGGATACGTTTTCAGAATTGTTTTTTTTTTTAATTATTAAATAACGAAGACAAAAAATGTAAATAAAATTCTACAGTAAACTAATAAGTTGTTTAGGAACAGGTTAAATTATTCTTATCATCGAAAATAAGTAATCTTTTCTTTTTCTCGTTATTCTAGTTTCTCATTATTCACAAAGATTTTCTGCAGAATTTCTGGAATTATTATTGAAAAGACGACATTTGAAGAATTTGATGAAATCGGCGAATAAATTCAATGAAAAATAAGAAATTCCATATAATTATGAAAACGAAATAATTGATTCAAGCATTGATTTATTGACAAATTTCTTTTGAGAAATATGTTCCTAACCATCTAATTATAATACTGTATAATTTTTACTTTATTTTTTTTCGTCGCTATTTAGTAATTTTTAAAAATCCAATTCCGAAAATGTATCCACCAAAAGTACAATGTTGAACGTCGACTTTGCGCTCAAACTCAGGATTTACAGATCTTTAAAAAGATGTTTATTTCTCAAATGAATCCAAAAGAATTTGTCCACAACACTGCATACTCAGTTCAACTACCTAACATAGTCGGTCTGTCCCTTAAAACAAGCAAAATTTTTTAAAAGTATATACTCAGACCCTTCTCTCCTGCTCTAATACCAAGCCTTGTTTACTATCTTTTTTATTGTTAACAAAACAACTAGTTCTTGAACTGTACGAATAGTCATGGTAAAAATCATTATCCCTCCTCTTCTCAATTTAACTCTCATTAAGCAATCACTACAAAACAGTTTCATATTTCAGCTTTTATTTCTAACAAGCTTGCATACAGTCTGATTAACAGTACAGATACACAAACATATAAACTGTAAACAAATTCATGCTGTTAATTAAAAGAAAGAACATTTAATGCTAATTTTTTAGCCTATGATACCCCTAGGATATCCATGGGGTCCCTTAAAAAATTTCTACCAATTTTGTCCAGCCGTTTGGCCAGCTATATATGAGCAAAGAGCTTTATGATATAGATATATCTAATCTCTCCCTGAAATCAGAGCTGGATTATTATTGGAGGAAATTTATACCCCTGTGTTTGAATTTACTCCATCTTTAGGTTCTGGTGTAATGGGGTGGTAGGAATTGTTTACCAGAACACCCCCAGAAAACTAGGAAAGGTGTACTGCAGCAACAGGATTAGTCAGCTCTTCTACTTGGACTTTCAAGGTTAAAGGGACAATTGCACCATTAAAACCTTTATCTTATTAATAATGTTGAAGATAACATCGTTTATCTAGCTTTTAAAGTGTTTAACAATGATGATTTCTCCAGTATTTCTGAAGCAAAAAATGTGCAAGTCACTTTTGTCCAGAAACCATAAATGAAAATTACCAGTATTCAAAAAACAAAAAAACATGGATATCTTATTTATACTTAATTAGACAGATGTTTTAAGATAAGCCACTCTATCTATGAAAGATCACTTGAAATTACGTTTACAGTTCCATTAAGGAGTGCACTTCTGTACAAAGCAGTGGTTGAGAACGTACAAAGCAATGGTTGAGATCCACTAATCGGGATGCCAGTGGCACATATTGAACCAAAATATTCATAACAATTTGAATGTTCTCAAAACACAAAGTTTAAGTGTGTTGGCTGATAAAAGATGAAAAAAAACTTGCCTCATCTCTATTTGAACAATCCAAGATATAACACAAAAGAAGCAACAACAAAAATTGAAAATTTTGCTTAAGTAAAAATTGAGTTCTGGATCCATTTTGTCCCATGACAGATACACACTGGTACAAATGATACTAGTTTTAATAAGGGAATTTAGAAAGAAATCAAATATGTTAAGTTGGGCTTGGTTTTGAGAATTGGGGGGAAAAAATGTTTTGGTCAGATTTTGGCACTACAAATCCATTTTTAAAGTTTACCCATTTTAATGAAAATTTTATCCGTTTTGATGAGAAAATGCAATACTTTACATTTAGTTCTCTTAAAACTACTTAATTTGACTATTTTACATTACTACATATATTAGCATGTGAGGAATTCTGTTTAATTATACTTTCAATTATTCTTTCTTTTTAAAGGTAACTTCCGTATACTGAGGAGTGAGATGGATGGTCAATATCTCGGTATAACTGGGTTAACCATCCAGGGAGAATCTGGAAGACTGGTCTGGACTGAGAGAACTTTGCTATCCCAGGAATGGATTTTAGGAAAAATTGAATGAAGCCAAAAGGTGCAGACATGGAGGTCTGTCATCAATGTTTGAACTTACATCGATTGGAAATCGACAGTACAGGGAATGTCAGGCTTTTTTGTGCAAAGATCATGAACCATTGTAGAGCATTTTCTTTATCCTGCAGTAGGAATTTTTCCCGGTTGGTCTGTAAAGAACGTATAACAGTAAACTAATAATACAGTAGGTATTTCTTTTACCCTTCCCTATAAACCCATAATGGTATTAAAATCCCTGGTCTATAAGGGACTGTTCCCTGGACCTCATAGAGTGCAGAAAGAGTTATGACTCTTGATTCATTAGAAGGATCCCCTGTAGAGGTTTTCAGTGCTGACCAGCCTGTTTATACAGGTAGATTCCTATGGACCTGAAATAATTTTTAAAACAAATTTAATACCACCTAGAAATGGTTCATAGTTTTAACCTTCATCTATATCCTTCATAGTTCTAACCTTTCTTCTACATCCTTCACTCACTCTTTCAAAGTATGGAGTAAATTTTTTTTTCTTTTAACTCCTTAAGTTTTGTTGTCCCTGTTTTACCTAAAACTTCCTTCATTTCAATCTTTGGGAAAGCATGGCATTCCTCTCTCTGGGTAGCTTGGGAAGGGCGGTTGCTGAGCCCCGCCCCCCCCATTCTGCTCCTGTTGGGCTACTGATAACTAGTGCTGTGAGGGTAGATTTTTAAATTTAAGTTGGGTAGCTTTGCTATCAAGTAGAGATGGGTGCGTTTGGCTTAATCTCAATTTGTTTGTCTATTGTTCTTAGCAACCCATTCATTCATTAAAAATTTGAATTCGTTCGTTTTAAGAATTATCATTCATTTTCAAATCTATTTTTTTGTTTTTAAAATGACTGATTGTTTTGTTTGATAAAATCATTTTCTAGTGAGATTGGACTTGCTTTAAATGCATTCAATCAGTAAAACAATAAGTTTTTGTCAGAAGTTTGTTCAATAAGAAAACTATAATTTTAACATACGTTTGTTTGAAACAAATCATGCTTTGAGTCTATTATTTTTTCAAGTTTGTTTGAACAAACAATATACAAATCGCTGGTTAGTGGTCTGATTATCAATAAAATTTGAACAATTTTAAATCATTTATTTAAAAAAGATTTTTTTTTGAAATATTTTATTTGTTTAACTAAAATGATGCCCATCTCTACTTTTTAGAAGCTTTCATAATGTGAAGATTGTGTAGCACTCTAAGAATTAGAATTCATAAGTTCCTGTATGTATACTATTGACTTTATGTTACAGTTTACTAATCTTTGCATTCAATCCAATGATGATGGCATGGCATGGCAACCCCATTCATCTTCAAAATTTAAAAATTATTCTGCTGAATATTGTAAAATATATAGGTAAATTCTGGGAGGGTAGCATGTTAGCATGCATATCTTTGTGAACAGTGGAGCAATTCTTTAAAAAGTGTACGAGGAGTAATCCTTGGAAAAATAAATTTTATACTTAATGTAATAAACTGCCATATGAAATTATCCTTGGCATGAAAGATAACTTTTAACTAAATCAGCTAAAAAGGAAAAAAAATTTCCTCATGAACAAAAATTAATCACAAATTAGAATTATAATAAAATCCATAATAAAAGAGGCTGTTCCCTGGGCCTCATGAAGCGGCAGTAAGAGTTATGACTCTTGATTCATTAAGTGGAACTCCAATTGAAGTTTTCAGTGCTGACCAGCCTGTTTATACAGGTATATTAACTATTCTGTGGAACAACTTTAATGGTTGAATAAGACCTAAATTTTCTAAAACTAAGATTCTGCCAAAAGTTGAAGGTGAAGGATGATTGATGGAGACACATATTAAAGCAAGATTTTAGTAACTAACTTAATAAATATCGACTTGAAGTATCCCTGTAAAAAACTAACTTATTTCTAGGTGAAGGAGAAGCTTGTCCTGGTCTGTATCGTCCCACTATCCCAAGACGTTGTTGGATTGATGCAAACACTTTCTTTCTCAGTAGTCCTGTCGGCCAGACACTCTATCCCATGAGAGTGAATTGTGTGCAGAAAACTGTTGAAGTTCTTTCTGGGGATTCTAACAAAGGAGTTACTGTGCTAGATGTGCATGAAGGAATAATCCTTGGATCTAGAAGTGACCCGGTAACTTCATCCCATCTAGTAATTGCCAAGGTGTCTGATTCCTCCATACAGTTTTCTCCTGTTTTCCCTTCATCTTCAATTCCGGAGATTACTTGGAAATCATTTATTATAAAACCAGAGGATTCCAGTTTTCCCTTTGCTGCATTTTTTGTTGGTCCTACCGACAGGAAGGAAGGACCACTTATTGTTTGGCCTCATGGAGGTCCTCATGGAGTCCTCACCACAACATTTACCAATACAGCTTTGTTCTTTAACAAGCTTGGGTTTAGTCTTCTATTTGTCAACTTTAGGGGATCAACAGGCTTTGGAGATGAGAATGTCAGCGGTCTTATGGGAAATGTTGGAGATCATGATGTCAAAGACTGTCATATGGCAAGAGATAAATGCCTGGCTGAGGTATCGGGACTTGATGCAAACAAGGTTTTTTTGATGGGAGGTTCCCACGGTGGGTTCTTAGTAACCCATCTTGCTGGTCAGTTCCCTGACTCCTACAAAGGAGTGGTGGCTAGAAACCCTGTCACTAATATCGCCACAATGGCGGAGGTAACGGATATACCTGACTGGACCTTTAATGAAGCAGGATTAGACTACAGCTGGTTACATGGAAACCCTGCAGTTTATCAAGAGATGTGGGTCAGGTAAAGGTTGAAAGGGAAGGGAAATGATGAAAATAATATTTGTCAATAACCAAGGGGAAATCGACAGGTGTTGTATACCTGTAGGGTCAATTCTTATCATTCTTGCACTGAACTTAAAATTATGGCTATTCAAAGCGGATTTTTGGTACCCATTTTCACATTTTCGATACATTGTTTGTAGCATCAAAAGGTTTGACCCATAAATGTCCATCTTAGAGGTGTTTCCATAGAAAACAAGTTAGGTACGCTCTAAAAGTGTTGAATCACCATTACAGTGGTGCAACCATTGTAAAGACGTTTACTGTCAATAATGTGTTCAGAATTTTATTTTTTTAAATGCTCCTAAGAGTCATGACGTCATTAAAGTAAAATAACTAAATCATCTTGCATCCAATTATGACATTTTTTCTTGTTTAGTTCTCCTATATCCAACATAGGCAAAATTGAAGCTCCAGTATTTCTGATGATCGGTAAAATTTACATATTTTATTTAGTTTTTCAATATATTAAAAGATTTTCTTTCTGAAATATTTATGTTCCTATTTAATTTTTTCTATTGCATTGGTATAAATCAATCCTGTTACTTTTTTAACTATAAAACAAGAAATAATAATAATAAAAAAGAATTTAAAAAAAAGTATCGTTTTCAGGTAAGAATGATCTTAGAGTGCCTCCAAGCCAAGGCAAACAGTTCTACCATTCTCTGAAGGTAATATGAGAATTGGACGAATCTGTTAAAAAATATATTTTCTCTTTGATCAAAACTGACATTTAGTATGAAGCCTTGAGCTTTTCATAATTAAAAAAACTGCAGGACAAAATTGTGATGTCTAGTTCCAAGATTTAATTGTTTAGGGTGGATCTAGATCCTAGGTTTCTAATCTAGACGACTTTTCTATTTAAAGGGACTGTAAGCATAATCCTAAGTGACCCTCTAATTAAAGAGGGGAATGTTCGATTAACAACTTTATCCTTAAAACCTTTGTGTGTCTGTTGTATAATTTGTGTTTGTAAATTACCTAAATCCTGGCAGTCAGCTGAAACTGCCGGCGTGTGCGCTGTGTACACTTTACACTGTACACTGTACACTGTACACTGTACACTGTACACTGTACACTGTACACTGTACACTGTACAGTGTATAGTGTACAGTCTTAACCCAATACAGCGCAGCGCCCACCGGCATTTTCAGCCGGCTACAAGCGATTGGGTACACCTATTTATGTACACGACGAACACAAAGGTTTCAAGGGGACCATTTTAAATTACACTTTCCCCTCTTTGCATGGAGAGTCACTTGAAATTTCGCTTATAGTCCCTTTAAAATACGCTTGTTTCAAATTACAAGTTTACAAAGTTAACGCTGTTTGGATAACTTGGTTGCAGAGGCGTATTCAGGGGGGGCTATTGGGGCTAAGCCCCCCCCCTGGACCAGTGAAATCATATTGATTTCAGGGGGTTTTTATGCCACAACGGGTGCTGAGCCCTCCCCCCTGGAAAGAAAAAAATTTAAGCCCCCCCCCCTGGATAAAGTTCTGAATACGCCCCTGCTTGGTAGAAATTATAAATTGATATATACGTCGAACATTGTAGGCCCTGGGTAAGGATGTAAGAATGAATGTTTACGATGATAATCACCCTCTTGGCAAACCGGTTCATGATGCTGATGTTATGATCAATGCTGCAACATTTTTTATGGAGATACAACAGGTGATATTAAATATACCATTCACCTTTTCCTTAACCATTCATTCATAGGCCATTCATTCACAATACACTTGGTCCCCATTCATTTATTTAAAAATAATTCATGCATTTATTCACTATCCATCTATTCATCATTCTTTCATTTATTAACCATACATGCATTTATTCACTATCCATCTATTCATCATTCTTTCATTTATTAACCATACATGCATTTATTCACTATCCATCTATTCATCATTCATTCATTTATTAACCATTCATGTATTTATTCACTATCCATCTATTCATAATTCTTTCATTTATTAACCATTCATGTATTTATTCACTATCCATCTATTCATCATTCTTTCATTTATTAACCATTCATGTATTTATTCACTATCCATCTATTCATCATTCTTTCATTTATTAACCATTCATGCATTTATTCACTATCCATCTATTCAGCATTCTTTCATTTATTAACCATACATGCATTTATTCACTATCCATCTACTCATCATTCTTTCATTTATTAACCATACATGCATTTATTCACTATCCATCTATTCATCATTCATTAATTTATTAACCATCCTTTCATGCATATTTTTGCACCGATATATTTACCATTCACCCATTCATTCATTCACCAATCAGCATCTATATACTCTTCATTCATTAATTTAATCAACACCAATTAATTTTTTATTTTGTTTATACTAAGTCATTCACCAGGCATTCTTTTATTATCCGTTTTATTAACTATTCAATAATAATCAAATCAATTAACCAACATCTGCAGAAACTATTAATTCACAAATTATGTACTTTTCATAATACATTTTGATAAACCAATATTTTTTAGGCTTAAGTTATGGAAATTATCCCCTGCAGGTGAAGAATGAAAGCTGGAAAATATTTAAAAACTATGATTATTATTTTCAAGTTAAAAATGCAGAAGTAAATAGTAAAGTGCAACTGTGATTTAAGTTTTGAAGACTTAACAATACTGTTTTATACAGAGTGTCCCACGAAACATGACATTAGCAAGACTACTTGAAAGTCGTCTTAGATATTTGAATTTATTTATGACATTCAGTCGTTTACTTTAACATGTATGATTCTTGAAACAATATCCACAAAATTCTCCCAGTCCTGGCCTTTTTGTGCTTTCAATATTACCAGAGACATTAAAAATTTCATTCAGATTTCAATTTTGTTAAATAAAACTAAAAATGTCGAAATAACAACGAAATTCTTCATATTTCGAGTAACATTAAAAGCACAAAAAAGGCAGACCACATTTTGGAAATGCCAGACTAATTGTATTGAGTGATCATTTACGTTAGAATTTTACTGCTAAAATCAGGTTGACGAATAAATTCAGCTAATTTTAGAATTAATTCGTCTTGCTACTGTCACGTTTCGTGGAACACCCTGTATAAACATATTTCGTAAAAGATGATAATGTGAAAAAAATATAAAGTCCTTTTTTTAATCGGACGTTTTTGCTGTAATTAATATTCTAAATTATTTTTGTTATGAAGAAATCATTACCCTTTATATTTTTTATTTGTATGTGAGCTTTTGAATTAAAATATTTTTTCTTTAATGAGATTTTTTTTTCTAGAAACGAGCGATTTAAAAAAAAATTACGCCAATGAATCTGAGTTGTATGCAAATTATTTTTTTTTTCAGGAAGATAAGGTAATGATTAATGAATGTTGTCTTATAACCTGTTTTTTATCGATACGCGTAAAAAAGGCCAATGTTTTGAATAAATAGACATTAGCTTTTCTTACACTAAGCCGAATTTTTACCCTGATAAAAAATTTAATCAAAAGAAGCATGAAATCTTATTCTTGGTGTTAAGTCGTCTTTGTTATCCACAGTAGGGTAGGATGTGGATCACAGCATAATTGGAGACCCGCTGTTCGTTTAAACTCAATTATTCTTTAACCTTTATCATTGGTCGGAGGAGTCTGAGGCCTGTAAAAGTCTCCATTTGATATTTGTATTCAGAAATTCTAGGTGGTGAGAATGTTACGCCTATTGATTATCTTTCTTAAATGTCATTTTCATATTTAAAAAAATATTCATTGTCATAAAATGTTCTATAATCCTCCAAATATTGATAACATTCCAATTTTGGGCCGGTTATTGTATTTTATCTGCAAGATAAAGACAATTCTAAAGAAACCAGATTTATTTTTATCTATTGTTTATCCAATGCTACATTATTATATGATTATGATTATATGATTTTCTCTCAGTGCCTGCACTTGTTCATTACTTCGCTTCTTTTATCCTTGGATAACAATATACAGGTTTTTTCCATCAGACAAAGATTGCACGTTTTTGCGCGCGGCAGGATTATAGGGGTTAGATCCTGCTGGATGATCCCGGTTTTGGATGATTCAGGATTTGGATGATGTGATCCTGCAAGATGATCCAGGTATTGACTTTTATCCTTGGATAACAATATACAAGTTTTTTCCATCAGACAAAGATTGCACGTTTTTGCGCGCGGCAGGATTATAGGGGTTAGATCCTGCTGGATGATCCAGGTTTTGGATGATTCAGGATTTGGATGATGTGATCCTGCAAGATGATCCAGGTATTGAATAATTCAGGGTTTGGATGATCCAGGTATTGGATGATTCAGGGTTTGAATGATCCAAAGGGTTTGGATGATCCAGGTATTGGATGATTCAGGGTTTGAATGATCCAGGGTTTGGATGATTCAGGGATGATTCGCGAAAAATGAAAGGGGGTATAGGCTTAATGCGATAAAAAAGCGCTTTTGATCGCTACTAATCTTAGTTCTATCTGTTGCGTCTGAAAGGAGAAAATTGTTAAAGACGTCTCATATCGAAGAACGCAGTGTCCATACAAATTGAGAAAATTGCAACATACGACTCAGACCGTAAAAAAATCAATTTAATTTCAAACAAATCATTCAGATATTACAACCTATAGTCATCGATTATCTTTCGCCACATTTGTATATATTTGATGTTTCATACTAGTTATATTTGATAATATGTTTTAATTGTTATAATCTGAGAGTTACATTTATTCCTGTTTCGAGGATTTTTGGTAATGAAGACGATATTTTTAAATTTTTCCAGGAATGTTCGAAAACAAGTTTTAGGCTAAATATTATTTTTAAAAAAACGAAATCAAACTATAGAAACATCAAATATATACAAATGTGGCGAAAGATAATCGATGACCATAGGGTGAAATATCTGAATGATTTGTTTGAAATCAAATTGATTTTTTTACGGTCTAAGTCGTATGTTTCAATTTTCTCAATTTGTATGGATGCCATGTTATTCGGTATAAGACGTCTTTAACAATTTTCTCCTTATAGACGCAACAGATAGAAGTAAGATTAGTAGCGATCAAAGGCGCTTTTTTTATCGCATTAAGCCTATACCCCCTTTATTTTTCGCGAACACTCCCTTTAAAGCACGGGGTAAACGCTACCTTCTCTTAAACCAGCGGCGGCTATAGACTTGCATTCTTAAATACAACTTTAGAAAAAAATGTATATGTATGTATATGTATGTATATGTATGTATATGTCTACATTTTCACTACAAAGTTTATCTGTGTTCTTGTATACGAAACTTTAGAATGGGATATCCTTAATCCCAATCGATTAATTAATCTCGAAATTAATAACAAGAGGAGAACAAGCATTATTTAATCTGGAGATTAAGAAAAAGATGAGATCAAGCATTAATCCCGATATCCAACATTCAAAAGTTGCTAGCTCAGAGCTAAAAACTTTAGAATTCCGTTTGGCCAGATAAAGCAAACATTGTAAAGGCATACACAAGGTGATTAAGCTTCTCTAGGACTCTCTCCGATGTGTTAAAAAATATAAAACAACACTTTTTAACTTGTTCTGAACATATTATTAAATAAAAGGCATATTAAAGTGTGCGACTACAGGGCTCAGTAATTTAAGAAAAAGACTTAATAAATTCTGTGCAGTCGTCTCTGAAGTCTCATCCTTTGTGGTGATCTCTGTATTTATGATCCTAAGTTACCAGCTTCATTACCAGAAAACATTAAGTGCTATTTATAAAGGTTTGAATTTTTCTGCGAAAAACAGTCCTCGCCGTCTTCCTGCCCGGTCCCCTTCGGAGTTGACACCTTTCAGGTACTTTTCTAGTTCATTTGGTCACCACTAGGTGGCCATCTTGGTTGGGTTTTCATTTGTGCCAATCTGTGTTTCGCTGTATTCTTTTAAATATCTATTTAAATCTTTTCAGGTTTCAGATACTTTTAAACTAAAAAATTGGAAAGCTAATTGATCTATATATTTGTTTTAAACGAAAATATTTTGCCTAATGAACGCAATGGTATTTGACAAATGACATTGTCCCCTTCATGAAAACAAATAGTTTTGTTTCTTCATTTTTGCCCCGAATTAGTAGTAAAGGATTTTAAAAACTTAAAGGGAGTGACCGGCTATGTAAGGTAGTTGAACAGAGTATGCAGTTCAGAATTAGTTTTTTGAAATTATTAAATAACGACGACATAAAATGTAAAACAGTTCTGCAATAAATTACAGGCGTCATGTAAAGGAACATGTTGAGAAAATAAAAATTAATCTTATCATCGAAAATAATTAATCTTGTTCAATTATTTTCTCATTATTCTGGTTTTTCAAAGATTTTCGCAGATTCTCTAGAATTATTATTGAAAAGACGATATTTGAAGAATTTGAAGAAATCTGCGAATAAATTCAAAGAAGATAAGAAATTCAATATAATAATGAATACGAAAAAATCGATTTTAGCATTGATTTATTGACAAATATCTTTTGAGAAATATGTTCCTAACCATTTAATTAGTTTACTGTATATTTTTTACTTTATTTTTCGTTGTCGTTATTTAATAATTTAAAAAAAATGATTCTGAAAACGTATCCACCCCCAAAGTAGGAGTTTTGACCGTTGAATTTGCGCTCAAACTCAGGATTTACAGATCTTTAAAAAGTTTAATATTTCTCAAATGCATCCGAAAGAAGTTTTCCACAACACTGCACATACTCAGTTCAACTACCTGACATATCCGGTCACTCCCTTTAAAAAATAAATATGAGCTACCTTTTACCTTGATAATAGGTTTGGTTTGCATCAGCAGATCGGAATTATTTAGATAACAAATATTTTCCTTTCTTCTTAATTTTCTAGAATATATCACGTAGAGAATCCCTCTCAGCTCTGCTATCATGAATTTATTTTAGAAATACTAATTATAAATTTTTTTTGTAATTTAATTAAAAATCCTAAAAATATTCTTTTTAAAAATTAATTAAAATATACAAGCATTAAAGGGACTATACACGTAATATCAAGTGACCCCCCCCCTTAAATAAGGACAAACTCGATTCACAACGGTACTTTTTAAACCTTCCATTAAGTAACAAAGTGGACAAATTGTCGCCTCAACTAGAATTCGTCAATTTTCAGATAGAAAACAAGTGAATCAATGAAACCTATGATTTTTATACAAAATTGTATATATATACATTTTCGTATAACTTTGACACAGTTTTATAATATCAATTTCTCGAGACAGGAACATCAGATAGAACTGTTATGGGATTCGATCAACTCCTAAAATGCTTAGGTTTCAGCCTATACCCCCTTTCATTTTTTCTTTGCAGTCCCTTTAAATGGAGGATTATTTGTAACACTTTGTAACTTTAAAACTAATTAATAAAAAAAGATTAAGAGTTCAATGGTTAGGCCATAATGATAATGAATTGAAAATAGAAACGACAATTTAAAAGATTAACTTTTGTAATCTTTTGAAATACTAAACTTGAAAATAATTTTCCATTCAATTCAATTTATTTTTGAAAAATTCTTATTTTAGTTTTAGCGAGGACTCATTGAAAATACTTGCCACGGATATTGAACGACAAAATGGAAAAATTCCAAGTAAGCTTCACTCACTCACTCACTCTCTCACTCACTCACTCACACTCTCAACCAACTTGTCACTCAATATAGACCAGCTCCAGGCATAACCATTAACAGTTAACTCAATCAATCAATCAACAAACTAACCAACCAAAGCAACAAGCTTGTTCCGTNCTCACTCACTCACTCACTACCTCACTCACCCTCTCACTCACTCACCCTCTCACTCACTCACTCACTTACTCACTAACTTACTTTTGAATTGTTCTCTCAATTTATTTTCCCTTGAATCTGTTCATAATTCAACAAATTTAACAATCAACACTGACTGTCTATCTATCTATCTATTCATCTATCTATCTATCTATCTATCTATCTATCTATCTATCTATCTATCTATCTATCTATCTATCTATTCATCTATCTTTCTATCCATCTATCTATCATTCACTATCTATCTATCTATCTATCTATCCATCTATCTATCATTCACTATCTATCTATCTATCTATCTATTTATCTATTATCTATCTATCTATCTATCTATCTATCTATCTATCTATTTATCTATCTATATATCTATATATCTATCTATTTAGTGCATCTACCCTTAAGATCTGGGAGTACTCCATCTACTCCCTGTCCTGGTAGAACTAACTACTCCCAACCTAGGTAAACAAGAAGCTCAACACAGTGGAGTCAAAGGCATACCACTATAGAAACTCCCTGGAAGGGACTGGTTCATTGATGTACCGGCCCGTTTCGCCTTACATAGTCTTGAAGCATGTACTGTACAGCAAGCTTTTCCTCCTTTATTAAAAGTCAGACCTGTTCATTTCATGCACCTGGCCGACTTTCAACCATCTAGAGCCCACTGTACAGTACATATGCAAATGAATTTATGTAATTTATTCAGGGAGAGGGGGACAAAAACATGTTTGCCCCCCCCCACTCCTTGTAATCCATATAATGTGTCATGAATGTAAATGATATAAAACAGAACTGTGAACATTTTATTGTTTCTCATCTGACTCTGAAAACTAAAACTTTTTTTCTTTTTAAAAATAATATTTTGTAAATTTAGAACTCCTAATTCTGAGTTTGGTCCTCCAATCAACTACTCCGCCCCCCTGGGTACTCCACCCAGTGCTCCCCCCAGGCATCTTCCACTTGGATCT